GAAACTCATTAAAATAAGATTAGAAACACTTCCTGTGATATAAATTGATTTAGGCCAGACTATTTGTTGTAGATTAACTCACTGAATTGATGCAACTCAGAATGTCACAAACAAACACCACAAAACTAAGAACATGAAATAAGGATAAGGAAAAGAATGAACAGAACACAATTTTTTAAGATGGTTCAATTAGAGAGTGTTAATGAACTATAATCTATGCCCACACAAAAATTCACTATAAACCAAGTTTCTCTTTTTTAACGGAGTTACATAGAAAACTCCATAAACTATAATTTAAATCCTTACTCTCTTTCACTCAACCAACCCTCACATTTTACACAATATGTTTTTATACAACTAATTCCATTAATCACTTCAACAAATCCATAATTTCAAACACACGATTTCCTTATCTAATTTGAGCTATTAAACTATGATGCACAAATAGGATAGATGTATTAGATACGACATATTTATGATAAGTTCATACATTCATATAAAAAATGATAAGATACAACATGCATATTAAAAAATACAATATGATATATGATTATTATATATTGTGTGAATCCAAATTAAAATTAAATTTATTAAACATTATCATCATAAATGTTGTGAAAATAAAAAAAAACTACGTATTATTGTCGAGTATTACAAATTTAAATATTGAATGTTATAATTTGCATTGATTATGTATTATTTATATACAAATATCAATTAAGATTCTATAATTATGATAATACAAATAAATATTTTTCTAAATAAAATGCTGATGAATAATTACTTTAATATTATATCATAAAATAAAATTAATATTATAAATCTCCAAGATCATCATGAGTCATATAATATTTGATTATGTCTAACCGATGACTCCGGTGACAACAACCATTTTAAGTAGCTACACACTCATTTTACACTGAATCAAAAATAAAATCAATCAATTAAAGTCCTTAACACCTTCTCTTAGTATGATCCCCTCTGGGTTGTTGAATGCCTATCCCCAGGAATCAGGAAGGAAAGATTTGATGCTGAATCAAACCATCCAAGCTTTTCTATAAGTTCCTTCACAAGATCACCAGCTATGTAAGAAAGCAGTGAGGCCACAGCACCAGTGCTGACATAGTAAAGCACCGTTTTGAAGTAAGTGAAGTAGCTGCTTGGTCTCTTAATATATGCTTTGGCAATGGAAAGTAGAGTGATGCATAGTAGAGAAGCTGCAGCAACAGCAGCTAGTTTGAAATCCTTGTCACCACTCTCACCAAATGAAAATCCATATACCACAGGTGGCACTAATCCAAACACAAGGAATGATATGACTGCTATAAAAGCATGCACAATGAAATTATCCTTCTGACCCAGTAACTCTATGTACCGATCCACTTGTTCAGATTTCAGCTCCTCGAGCTGAAATGTAAACAAATTCAAGTTTCAAGTGCAAGTAATGACCAATGTTAGGTAATCTATTGATCCATATATAAAGGGAATCAATACATTTTGGTTGATTATTTTCAAACATCATGAATTATTCCATGCATGATTTCAAGACCCTGAACCGTTTTTTTTTTTGGTGTGGTATTACATTATGGATGAGCTCCGAAAGTCATTCAAATTAACTGGAAAAGGCCTTTTTTGGGATTTATCAAGTGAAACAGAGCTGCTAGAAGAAATCCTAGCCATCTTTTAGAGCTGGTATCTATAGTTCTGTAGCGAGTTCAGTGATAAAATAGGAACTGGAATATAAAAAAAAGCTCAGAATAAGTTTTAAGATATATAACTCACATTATGACCAAGTATGAAAAGTCCACCAATTAGATTAGCCATAGACAGAGCCACAATGTTCACTGCAAAATAAAAAATTGTCATTAATGTTGCAATATTAATTCCGAAAACTTACTCTTCTGTTATTTTTTCCTGCGGCCACATTATTAACAATGTTTGTTTGAAGAACAACACTGTTGTTCATGATGCATAAACACCTGTTGACATCTTTCTATGTGAAAATTTATGAAAATGTTTCATCTTTTTCTTGATAAATGTAAAACAGGTGTGATTTTATAAATATTTGAGAATACTAAATATCAGTTTACACCAAAAGAAAAGTATAACTCCATATAAACAAAATAGCACTGATCTTCGAGTATTATTTTAAAGAGAAATAAAAGAGAAGAATGATGAAATGAAAATAAAATATCCTACATGTGGTAGCATCAGCACTAGCAGCAGATGTCACAACACTGAGACTTGTTAATGATTCAATCAAACCACCGTACACAACACTTTTAAGAATTTCCAATGTCTTAGTACTCGCTGCTACACTTGGTTCACTAGATGTAGTTTCAGCAGGAACAACTTCTGCAGCTGGTTCTGCAGAACAAATCAACATCATCATTTCATGGCAATATACAGAAAACTTCTATGACCGATCTTTGAAACCAAGCACAATCATCATGAAAATGAAGACTAAACTACACCAATTCCTTTTATAAACCCAAAAGTTGGATCACCCAACAGTGCTTTCTGGCAAAACGTGCTTTCTGGCAAAACTATAGTGAAATGAAAAATAATTTACTCATAGTTGGAGTGCTTACGTTTGTTATCTTCATCAACTTTAACCTCGATGTGTTCTTGCTGTTTCTCATCAGGAAAGTCAATTTTAGGTTGCTTGGGTACAGAGGCCTTAGGATCATCACCAATAACTGGCCAATTACTCCAAAAATGCTTCTTCTTTGGTGCAATTTCACCTTTACCTCGATCTTGGGAGGTTGCAGTTAAGTGACTTGATGAATCTTGTGGTTTCTCGTTTTCAGTTCTTTCAAGTCCTAGAGAACAATTAGGGAATACTCCGTCATTGTTGGTAAATTTGTAACATATCTTTTGTGTTTCTTCTCAGCTAACATCTAGACATAAAATCTACTGACAATACACACATTTTTCAACGAAGTTTTTATTGTTAGTTGAAATTTATGAACACTCAAAGCAATGGATCCCACTATCTATTTATAGGGTCTTACTCTATAATTAGTAAATCTTATATGAATATTAACTATCAGTAAAATATTTTGGAAAAAACTAGTTACATATAAGTATCTTTTAGAAGAAGAAAATGTTCCTAAGGATTACCTGTGCTATTGATTTCATCTTCCCCTTCAGTGGTTTCTTTTTGTGCTCCTAGCACAGGAGGGACCTCTTTGTCAGTGTTTTGAAAACTTTGTTTTCCTTTGTCATCTGCACTTTTAGTGGCTGGATTTGGGATACTTTTGGCTTCAGATTGAGTGACTTGTTTCTCAGATTCATCAACAGAATCTTTGGGAGAATTCATGTAGTCAACCTCACTTTGTTTCTTGGATTGATCAGGTTCTGTAGCCTCATATTGTGGTGCATCTTTAAATGTTGGTTTAGGGTCTCTAGAGTGATCCATGAAACCAACCTCTCTGTCAGATTGATCAGATTCTGAAGTCTGGTGTTGTGGAACACCTTTGAACTTTTGGTTAGGACCTTCAGGGTGATCTATGTATTCATCCTCGCCTTCAACTTCATTCTTTTGCTTTCTGGATTCACCATGTTTTGGAGTTAGTGGACCTTTGAACTTTTGGTTAGGACTTTTTGGGTGATCAACCACACCTTCTAATTGATGATTTTTCTTCTTGGAATGATCAAATTCTGGAGTCTGGTGTTGTGGTTCACCTTTAAATTTTTGGTCAGGACCTTCAGGGCGATCCATGTGCTTTATATAACCTTCAAATTGATTCTTATGTTTCCTAGATTGATCATGTTTTGGAGCATCATGATGTGGTTCTCTTTTGATTTCTTTGTCATGACCTTTAGGGTGATCCATTCCACCAAATTTATTACCTTCTGATTGATGCATTTGTTTCTCAGGCAGATCAGGTTTTGGAGCCTCATGTTGTGGTGCACCTTTAAATTTTTTGTCAGGGCCTTCAGGATTATCCATGTAATCAAATCAACCTTACCTTCAGATTGATTTATCTGTTTCTTGCTCAGGTTCTAGGGTACTAATTTGAATTTTTTGTAAGAGACTTTAGTGCATCAACTTCACCTAATAAAATATCACTATTATTGATGTTGTTGGGTTAATTAAGGATGTGTATTGTTATTTGATGAATCAATCACACTAAATTGATTTCATTTATAAAAGAGTTACATAGTTTATCAGCCAAAATCAAACTTTGATGAGACATACAATGAATTACCTGCTATGAACAAAACTATTTTGTACAAGGAAATAATACTACTGCAATGGCCACTGTTCGAATGTTCATGACAAACTGTGTTCATAGTTTGACATTGGCATCCATTGTACAATTAAATAATCCATGAAGTTATGAATATATTTTTGATTGGCAACACTGTAAATCATTTCACTCAATCAGCATAGTTCAGTCGGTAATAAGTTGATTCAAAATTTATATGAAGTTTTCTATATTCATATCATCAACATCTTAACAAACCATGGCATGGGGATGTATCTCTCAAGAATAAGATGCTGATTTTCTAAAACAAACATCCTTGTAATAATTCGATGTACAAATTTTGATGGCAAGAATACAAGAACAATGTTCTTAATGAAATAGACTCAATACATTACCTAGATCGTTTAATGCTGCAACTTTATCAGATACCAACCCAAGGAATAACCAAAAACCTGTTCAAAGCAAAGAAGAATTCAGAATTCAGAAATCAGGCCATTTTCAATAGAATAGATGAACTAAGAACTCTCATAAGAGAATAAACTGACAAAAACAACTAGCAGAAGTATCTGATTAACTAAGAGAACAGAATCAAGATCCGCATTATAGAATTAGTTGCTCAGTTAGTTGGTTGCAGGTGTTGGTAGTTCTGTTCCAACTAAGGGTCAACCGTTGAACTACAAACAAAAAGTAAAGAAACTGAGAGAGAAAGAGAAGTTTTTGTGGATATTTTGTAGCGATAAATTAGCAACTGATAATGTTTCCTAGTCATTTTCTGCAGAACATTCTTTATGCACTCTTTTTTTTTCNCGTTTTGAAGTAAGTGAAGTAGCTGCTTGGTCTCTTAATATATGCTTTGGCAATGGAAAGTAGAGTGATGCATAGTAGAGAAGCTGCAGCAACAGCAGCTAGTTTGAAATCCTTGTCACCACTCTCACCAAATGAAAATCCATATACCACAGGTGGCACTAATCCAAACACAAGGAATGATATGACTGCTATAAAAGCATGCACAATGAAATTATCCTTCTGACCCAGTAACTCTATGTACCGATCCACTTGTTCAGATTTCAGCTCCTCGAGCTGAAATGTAAACAAATTCAAGTTTCAAGTGCAAGTAATGACCAATGTTAGGTAATCTATTGATCCATATATAAAGGGAATCAATACATTTTGGTTGATTATTTTCAAACATCATGAATTATTCCATGCATGATTTCAAGACCCTGAACCGTTTTTTTTTTTGGTGTGGTATTACATTATGGATGAGCTCCGAAAGTCATTCAAATTAACTGGAAAAGGCCTTTTTTGGGATTTATCAAGTGAAACAGAGCTGCTAGAAGAAATCCTAGCCATCTTTTAGAGCTGGTATCTATAGTTCTGTAGCGAGTTCAGTGATAAAATAGGAACTGGAATATAAAAAAAAGCTCAGAATAAGTTTTAAGATATATAACTCACATTATGACCAAGTATGAAAAGTCCACCAATTAGATTAGCCATAGACAGAGCCACAATGTTCACTGCAAAATAAAAAATTGTCATTAATGTTGCAATATTAATTCCGAAAACTTACTCTTCTGTTATTTTTTCCTGCGGCCACATTATTAACAATGTTTGTTTGAAGAACAACACTGTTGTTCATGATGCATAAACACCTGTTGACATCTTTCTATGTGAAAATTTATGAAAATGTTTCATCTTTTTCTTGATAAATGTAAAACAGGTGTGATTTTATAAATATTTGAGAATACTAAATATCAGTTTACACCAAAAGAAAAGTATAACTCCATATAAACAAAATAGCACTGATCTTCGAGTATTATTTTAAAGAGAAATAAAAGAGAAGAATGATGAAATGAAAATAAAATATCCTACATGTGGTAGCATCAGCACTAGCAGCAGATGTCACAACACTGAGACTTGTTAATGATTCAATCAAACCACCGTACACAACACTTTTAAGAATTTCCAATGTCTTAGTACTCGCTGCTACACTTGGTTCACTAGATGTAGTTTCAGCAGGAACAACTTCTGCAGCTGGTTCTGCAGAACAAATCAACATCATCATTTCATGGCAATATACAGAAAACTTCTATGACCGATCTTTGAAACCAAGCACAATCATCATGAAAATGAAGACTAAACTACACCAATTCCTTTTATAAACCCAAAAGTTGGATCACCCAACAGTGCTTTCTGGCAAAACGTGCTTTCTGGCAAAACTATAGTGAAATGAAAAATAATTTACTCATAGTTGGAGTGCTTACGTTTGTTATCTTCATCAACTTTAACCTCGATGTGTTCTTGCTGTTTCTCATCAGGAAAGTCAATTTTAGGTTGCTTGGGTACAGAGGCCTTAGGATCATCACCAATAACTGGCCAATTACTCCAAAAATGCTTCTTCTTTGGTGCAATTTCACCTTTACCTCGATCTTGGGAGGTTGCAGTTAAGTGACTTGATGAATCTTGTGGTTTCTCGTTTTCAGTTCTTTCAAGTCCTAGAGAACAATTAGGGAATACTCCGTCATTGTTGGTAAATTTGTAACATATCTTTTGTGTTTCTTCTCAGCTAACATCTAGACATAAAATCTACTGACAATACACACATTTTTCAACGAAGTTTTTATTGTTAGTTGAAATTTATGAACACTCAAAGCAATGGATCCCACTATCTATTTATAGGGTCTTACTCTATAATTAGTAAATCTTATATGAATATTAACTATCAGTAAAATATTTTGGAAAAAACTAGTTACATATAAGTATCTTTTAGAAGAAGAAAATGTTCCTAAGGATTACCTGTGCTATTGATTTCATCTTCCCCTTCAGTGGTTTCTTTTTGTGCTCCTAGCACAGGAGGGACCTCTTTGTCAGTGTTTTGAAAACTTTGTTTTCCTTTGTCATCTGCACTTTTAGTGGCTGGATTTGGGATACTTTTGGCTTCAGATTGAGTGACTTGTTTCTCAGATTCATCAACAGAATCTTTGGGAGAATTCATGTAGTCAACCTCACTTTGTTTCTTGGATTGATCAGGTTCTGTAGCCTCATATTGTGGTGCATCTTTAAATGTTGGTTTAGGGTCTCTAGAGTGATCCATGAAACCAACCTCTCTGTCAGATTGATCAGATTCTGAAGTCTGGTGTTGTGGAACACCTTTGAACTTTTGGTTAGGACCTTCAGGGTGATCTATGTATTCATCCTCGCCTTCAACTTCATTCTTTTGCTTTCTGGATTCACCATGTTTTGGAGTTAGTGGACCTTTGAACTTTTGGTTAGGACTTTTTGGGTGATCAACCACACCTTCTAATTGATGATTTTTCTTCTTGGAATGATCAAATTCTGGAGTCTGGTGTTGTGGTTCACCTTTAAATTTTTGGTCAGGACCTTCAGGGCGATCCATGTGCTTTATATAACCTTCAAATTGATTCTTATGTTTCCTAGATTGATCATGTTTTGGAGCATCATGATGTGGTACTCTTTTGATTTCTTTGTCATGACCTTTAGGGTGATCCATTCCACCAAATTTATTACCTTCTGATTGATGCATTTGTTTCTCAGGCAGATCAGGTTTTGGAGCCTCATGTTGTGATGCACCTTTAAATTTTTTGTCAGGGCCTTCAGGATTATCCATGTAATCAAATCAACCTTACCTTCAGATTGATTTATCTGTTTCTTGCTCAGGTTCTAGGGTACTAATTTGAATTTTTTGTAAGAGACTTTAGTGCATCAACTTCACCTAATAAAATATCACTATTATTGATGTTGTTGGGTTAATTAAGGATGTGTATTGTTATTTGATGAATCAATCACACTAAATTGATTTCATTTATAAAAGAGTTACATAGTTTATCAGCCAAAATCAAACTTTGATGAGACATACAATGAATTACCTGCTATGAACAAAACTATTTTGTACAAGGAAATAATACTACTGCAATGGCCACTGTTCGAATGTTCATGACAAACTGTGTTCATAGTTTGACATTGGCATCCATTGTACAATTAAATAATCCATGAAGTTATGAATAAAATTTTGATTGGCAACACTGTAAATCATTTCACTCAATCAGCATAGTTCAGTCGGTAATAAGTTGATTCAAAATTTATATGAAGTTTTCTATATTCATATCATCAACATCTTAACAAACCATGGCATGGGGATGTATCTCTCAAGAATAAGATGCTGATTTTCTAAAACAAACATCCTTGTAATAATTCGATGTACAAATTTTGATGGCAAGAATACAAGAACAATGTTCTTAATGAAATAGACTCAATACATTACCTAGATCGTTTAATGCTGCAACTTTATCAGATACCAACCCAAGGAATAACCAAAAACCTGTTCAAAGCAAAGAAGAATTCAGAATTCAGAAATCAGGCCATTTTCAATAGAATAGATGAACTAAGAACTCTCATAAGAGAATAAACTGACAAAAACAACTAGCAGAAGTATCTGATTAACTAAGAGAACAGAATCAAGATCCGCATTATAGAATTAGTTGCTCAGTTAGTTGGTTGCAGGTGTTGGTAGTTCTGTTCCAACTAAGGGTCAACCGTTGAACTACAAACAAAAAGTAAAGAAACTGAGAGAGAAAGAGAAGTTTTTGTGGATATTTTGTAGCGATAAATTAGCAACTGATAATGTTTCCTAGTCATTTTCTGCAGAACATTCTTTATGCACTCTTTTTTTTTCATTTATTTCTTGAAAGAAAAGGACATTGTGGTACTTAAAATAAGTAAGAAAATATGCATAAATCAGAATCCATGTTCTTGAAAACTTTCCAGGCCAATAACTTTTTTTCTTAGGAAACGGGTAAATTATGTGAAAAGTTTATATATCCATGTTACAAACTTCGATACAACATGCTTTGTGTCAACCTCAATGACTTGCATGGAATAGGAAGAAAGATTCTATGTTGTTGTGGAAGAAATTAAGTTGGGCCTTCATCGTCTTGGAACTGTGAAAATATGGTTTCAAACTTAAGATATTACTTTCTGCACCTCTACAATACCAGGAAAAGACTTCAATACCCTTCACCATTGCACCACATCCCACTACTGCCACGGTCGCACCACTTTTGCAAAGGAAAAAAAGAAGAAGAGAGGAATAACAATACAGAGGAAGAAGAGAAAAAAATGCAGAAAAAAAAAAACTCATTTTCGAATGTTTTTTCCGAAACATATTTCATGTGCCTCGAAAATCTCTTTCTGAAACATATTTAATGTACAGATATTCTAAAACAACCCATTTCGAAAGGCGTTTTATAAGTTTTGAAACACTTTTTTAAAAATGTCATTCCGAAAAATTTATTCCGGAAGCCATTTCATACGTTCAAGAAATTCTAGTCAAGAAGCTATATTATGAAAATTTTGTTTTGAAAATCTTATTTTAAAAGTTATGTTCTGAAAAGAAACTTCCAAAACATTATTCTGGAAATTCTGAAAAACTTCTTAAATATGTAATTTAGAAGTCACTTTTCCAAGAGAATAAGATGGTCGTTTAAAAATTTAGAGGTGCATATTGGAGGTGTTAGGAGTATGAGTCTCAAGAGTATTTTTTGTGTAAGGATGTACTTGGTGATGAGATAAATAAACTTACTACCTTATAAGTCACTTGATCACTACAAAAATATGTGGTAAGCATCTCAAGGAAGGTTATTTCACAAACTTCCAAGTTATAAGTTACATTGAGCTTCTAACATGTAAGATATTGAATTTTCTTCCGTTATTACCTCTTATAATTCAATATATAATTTTTAATATTTTGATTTTTTTGTATATTATATTACTCATTTAAATTTTATAGAGATAATAAAATATGTTAGGTTATTTCCTAATTTTTTTAAGCTAATATTTTATTATATGAAGTTATAAGAAAATTATATAGTGAAAATTGTACCACCCCTTGTAGTTGTTGTATAAAAGCTGACAAAACAGTATTTTTCGAGGCGTGTTGTTTCACTATCCTTAAGGACTTATCCGCGGTGTATTGTGCAAGTCTCCCAAGATACAATAGGAACTTCCCAAAATATTTCTGAAGATCTCAAAACTAGCAATGATCTCTAAAGAGAGTATAAATAAACCCGGATTTTCTTAGAAAGAAAGAGAGAAGAGAGAATGAGAAAATGAAAGGGTGAGAGAAATGGTTTTTGTGTGTTTTGGAATGGAGGAAGACCTCTATTTAAAGATCTAGAAGGGAAGAAGGAGTAATAAATTTTTGACCGTTGAAATTGAAAAAGGAACATTGCAGTGAACGTTGCCCAAAAGAGACATTACTCTCAACATATAATTCAACATTGCAAAAGTTTCTTTTGCAATAAAGTAATATTATTACAACAATCCCCCACTTTCACACACACCATAGGAAGAGACATAATTGATTAAAATCAATTTAATGCTATCAGAACTAACAAGTGACTTGTTTTTACCCATATGAACCTTATTCATGGAATCTCCAATCACAAAGGTTGGGTTACCATCACTTGTTTGTTTGCAAGTGGCTTAAGTCTCATTTCTCTCGATGTTTCTAATATCATTTGTCTTCCCAATGGTTTTGTTAAAGGATCTGCTAGATTTAGTTCTGACTCCACATGATCAATTGAAATAGTTTCACTCTTTAGCAGCTGCTTCATTAAATTGTGTCTCAATTGTATGTCTATTATTTCCATTGTAATTATTGTTTTTAGCTATAGCTATTACCGATTATCAATCACATCACATTGATATTGATGGGTTGGTTTCATTCCTAGAGGAATGTTCGCTAAGAAGTTTTTCAACCACTCAGGCTTATTACCAACCATCTCAAAAGCAATAAACTTAGATTCCATTGTTGATCTTGCAATAACTGTTTGTCTAGATAATCTCCATGTAATCGTATTACCCCCAAGTGTGAATATATAATTACTACTAGTAGATTTTGTCTCATCTGAATCAGAGATCCAGTTAGCATCATTGTACCCTTCTAGTACAGTAGGAAATCAATTATATTCAATGGCATAATCCATTGAACCTCTTAAGTACTCATAAGCCTAGCAAGTGCATCCCAATGTTCCTGATTTGGACATTGAGTGTACATACTCAGTCTACCTACTACATAAGCAATATCAAGTCTAGAAAAGCTCATTAAGTGCAGTAAGCTCCCAATTATCTGGGCATACTAAGGCTGAAATATAGATTTTTCTTTATTTTTTATTAATTTAGAATTAGCATCATAAGGGGTACTCACTGGTTTTAGATCATAAAACCCAAACTCCTTAAGAAGTTTCTCAATATATTATTCTCGGGATAATAATATATTATCTCCCTTCCTTATGATTCTAATACCTAAAATCATATTGGTTTCACCCATGTCTTTTATTTCAAAATTTGATCCTAGAAACCTTAGTTTTTAGAGATTATTAGATTGCATGTGTCAATCACTAGCATGTCGTTCATATATAAATATATAACGACATATTCTCTACTTCCAAATTTAGAGGAATATCATTACACTAGTGCAAAATTGGCCTTTAACGACGTATTCATTTTCATTGCCGATTGGAATGGAACTAGGCGAACCCAGATTCGGTTTTCGATTGAAATGTCATAAGAGGTCCAAAAGACACAACCTTTTCTATGTCGAAACTAGCAAAGGAAGAAGGTGATACTACGTTACCCAAAGACACGAGCTGTAGTAGAGGTCGCTTAATGCCATACCCGACGTCTATAGAGCCCTTAGACGTCGGTTAACGCATGTCCGACGTTTATAAAGACGTCGGACCTGTGGAGTCCGACGTCTGATTAACGTCACCTACAAAGACGTCGGGTTTGGATCTGACGTTAAAAGGCCAAAATAACAGACGTTAAATGCCCTTTCTGCATTAGTGTTAGGTGAAAAGCCAAAGTTATTTCTTCAAGTATTTAAGTAAAATTACCTATACCCCTACAATTTTAAAATATTTAAGACTGGTAAACGAGAAAATACCTAGTTGTGCTTCTCTCATTTGTAGGTAAAGTATACGGAAAATTACTCAAGTATCCAGCCTCATCTTATTTCTTTTTCTTTCTCTAGAGATGAAATATTCTCCACCTTTCCTCAAACATTACAAAGGAACGACACATGAAATTAGGATTCATCATCCTAACTCCAACGAACTCCAATTTGTCATTTTTCCCCTCTTCTTCATCCTCATTCGCGGTCTCTATAAATGCGATCAAAAGTCATCGTTGTTGTGAGCATCTTGCTAGCCTCCAGAAGTTCTGTCTAGAGAAGACCTCGACTTTTGACACATCCGTAAGTGGTTCCGCAATTACCGTCTGAGTTTTGGAAACAAGTTTCGATCCTCCGGGATTGAGTTGTTTATGTTAGCCATAAGTTCTTAAGATTGTTGTAGAAAAGCTGACAAAACAGTATTTCTGGAGGCATGTTGTTTCACTATCCTTAAGGAATTATCCGCGGTGTATTGCGCAATTCCTCCATGATACAACAGGAACTTCCTAGAATATTTCTGAGGATCTCAGAACTAGCCAAGATCTCTTAAAATAGTATAAAATAAACCCATATTATTTTTTTAGAAAGAGAGAATGAGAAAATGAGAGGA